CTAATCATTTAGTTAACAAAAATTAAATGAAATTGGTACACATCAATAGCCTCCATTAATATTGACATTTTAAAGCACCACTTTAAGCCATGTGGAGTATGGTTCAGAAAATCACTCCATCACTTCGTTTACAAGTACTAACCCCTTTAAGTTTGCTGATTGTGAGATTACCCTCTAAACATCAAAAGTATCACTTAACCTCCCATAAGTTTGGAGTATTTCAGAAAGCCCCAAATATTTTCAATTTTTTCAACTAACCCCATGACAATGTTACATGAACTTGGTTAAAAAGCCAAAAAAAAAATCAAAGGAACACTCAATTTATTAAATTAAACTATAAATTAACTTAAGGCGATCTTGGAAAGTTACTTTTAACTTATTAAATAAGTTTTTACACAAAAATCGTCTTTACTTTTAATATAATTGATACTTATCACCTTTAAAGTTTTTTGGTCAATATAATCTTTACTTGCTAACATCTTTACAGTGTTATACCTATTTGAAATTTCAGCCTAAAAAACAAGTGTACTGATTTTATCCTCTAACTAATACGCGTGCTTTGCACGTGTGTCCTAAATAAATACAAACTTAATGGGGTTTTTTCCATGTTAGTTCACCAAATCTTCCATATTTTGAAATCCCTCAAATCTCTCTCTCTCTCTCTCTCTCTCTCTCTCTCTCTCTCTCTCTCTAAAATAACCATCCCTCTTCCCCCTCCCCCCTTCAATCTAAAAAATTCACCTCCTGAAATCCTAGGCAATGAGTAAAAGATTGACCATTAGCCTCCCTATAACCCTCTCCAGCGAGGACAACACCAATGGGTTGAAGAGGACATTGATTGGGGGACTAAATTCAAAATATGATGATTTTGGGGTCTAATGTCAAAAGACGAAAGATTTGGAGGACTAATATTGATTTTTTTATAATTAATTGGGCACATGTGCTTTGCACGTGTTTCGATGAGGGTATATTTGTTAGTTATGTGTCTTTAGGCTGAAAACTTAAATAGATGTGACATTACGGATGTTAGCAAGTAAATGTGATATTGATCAAAAAACTTTAAAGGTCGTAAGTATTAGTTTTGATAAAAGTAATTGTGGTACTGATATAAAAACCCTTATTGTTATACCCTAAAAAACACACGTTTTGTAATCCCTTGAAACTTGACCCTGTGTTAGTCGAATGAATCGGATCACATGACCAAACTTCCGACCTAGGAATAGATACAGCCCGACCAAACAAGCTAATGTTAATCGAAAGTTCGAGTCCGAGTCCGAGTCAAAAGGCATCTTTAGGTCGAAATCTGCCAAAGAAGATCTCAAACCGATTTGGAAGGTGTCTTTAGGTCAAACTCCACTGAAGAAACATAGTCCATGACAAGGAAAGAATGGCCATCAGACTCGACATCACCGCTTGCATTAAATGTTATGTCCGGGAGTTATGATGACTTCTCTGATAACGCTCATACACCACCGTTAAGTTGCAATCGCACTAAACACACATTATAATGGCTCTTCGGACGTTGCCTCCTCTGCCATCCTATCACTATCACATTAAATGCGGTGAGAACGGCTCCCATAGATTCACTCGACCAATGGATGACATGTGTAAAGTAGAAGTAAGAACGTCAACTCTGTCGGTCAAGTTGGATTACCATTTTGCCCCCATGCTCCCCTCTAAATATGGTGCTACCCCCACCATTTTAAGGTCTAATTGATAAGAACCCTAAGCTCTATTTTGCACTTCTTTGAATTTTAATTTTGATCAGTCACTTACTTAAGCGTCGGAGGGCATGTCGGGAAAATCTCCTCCAGGACCTCTAACATTTGCTACTTGTGCAGTGATCTACTTCTCACTATTTGTCAGCCATCAGATCCAGGAGATCAAAGAATCCTATTCTTCTCTTAATAACACCCTACTCGCAAATTAACTTTTAGACATAAACACTCACTCAAAAGACATGAAAGACGTTTTTTTTTTACCAGGGACATTTTGATCATTTAGATGCACGGGATTTCATGTGCATAGTTGAATTGAACAACATTAGTCAAGGAAGTTTGTCACTTAAAGCCTAAGGTACGTTTAGTGAAATTTTAAGTCTAGGGAGATTATGAAAAAAAAGAGAGCCAACTTAAAGGGGTTTGTCGACTGTCGACATAAAAAGTCGTAATTGCTGAGAATGGAGGCCAAGGGCGGCCAACTTTTATATATTCTCTCCTGCCAAATTGTATTGTCGCTATACTGCATGAGCTGTCAAGTAACCAGACCTTGCATGGTGCAGTCAACATCTGAAGAAGATTGTGGCATTTCATGCAGTTATATGGAGAGAGATATTTTGGTAGGTGGGAAGATGAGAGAGAGAGAGAGAGAGAGAGAGAGAGAGAGAGAGAGCAGTAAACTGCAGGTAGGTGAGGATTATACGAATCAGAACCGCGGCGCCACAGCTCAATCTGGACCGAGAAATCGATCAATCGATCTTCATTCGGGATCAGTGTTGTAAGCAACGTGTAAAGAGACAGAGAATGAGTTCGCTGATGTATTATACATTTGTTTCCTCGGTCTAATATGTCACGCGCGCGCTTCTCTAATGCGTGTTTGATTTCTGTGAATTGCTGTGATGAGTAACGGCAATGTCCTCTCCTCATCCACTTTTTTTCAGAATCTTTATACATTAACCAGTTAGAGAATATTAATATTTTACGGAGTTTCCTATTTTGAATTAATATACATTTCAATAGGGCTCTTCGCCATATTTTTACCTCGATAAAAAAAGGAAGAGCATAAAATTATACTTTTGATTAGATAGACGATCTAATGTGATTTTGTGGAGTTCTGAGTTTCTTGGTCTTTCAGATAGATTTTACTAATGAGTCCTTCTGGATCTCTTACAATTAATGATTTCATGCCTCAACGCATATTTGCAAGCGTGTGATTCATACGGTAGCATCTAAACTGCAGTATTTGTTCGTGAGCAAGTGTTATAGCAAAAGCTAAAATGACGACCCCAATATTGCATTGTTTAATCGAAATTCGATCAATGACTGCTAAATTATATGTGGTGAGGTGTAAGGATTGAAATGACTTATTAAGGAGATCGATGAAAGTGGATTCACAATATTGGCCAACTATAATTAAAAGAATTTATTCTGTTTGTGTTTGAGTCACTAGTCGAAATATGTTTAACTATCTATTCATCTTATCTCTTTACGATATAAGACTAAATTCCACTACATGTTTTTTTCCAAATCGAAAACCCACAACTTAACTGAATGAATGCCGGATACTCTTTACCTGAGGTGTGAGAACTGCAAATGTATGTTGGTACACTGATATGCTAGCTAAATTAAGTTCATTTTCACTGATATGTTAAAGTTCATTTAGTAGCGCAATGATTTTCTAAACGAATTGATGTGAATATGTAAAGGTGGGGATTTCTTCACTCTAATCCCTAGCTTTTTTTAGAGGTGAACTCCGTGTTTTGGTCTGTCTTGTTCAAAGTACACCGTACCAAGGTGGGAAATGAGACTAGTGCAATCATGGACCGTGTCGCATGCTATGGACATGTAATAAATGCTAGGGTTCTTGGTGCGGTTGTGAGGGGCCTGCTCTTAAAGAATGCCCCTTTCATTCTTAGATGTTGAATTTGAATCATGTTCTGATTTGGATAGTGATCGAAAAGCTCCCACAGGACAGGAGTTGGTTGAAGGTTTCATTCTCTCTTCGCTCTTCAGCCGTGCATGTCTATTTTCTTAACTTACGGAAGGTAATAATTAATAACAAGTGCTTTATTATCTGGAGAAACTTGACTGGCTTGTAGAAGTATAATCTGTTGGCTTATATTCAGTCCCCTGGCTGAAAAAGTAAGATATATTATTTGCTTCAAGGACTAAAATGCAGTGATTAGCGGAGCCAACCAATCGGGAATGGGCTATTACCCTGCAAGTGAGTAAACTAATTTTGAAGAACTAGCCACTCGAATCTTCAAAGAAACGAATATTTTACCGAATATCTTTCTAGTACTAAATCAATACCAACATTTAGAAAACTAGGCTTTTGACACTATAAATTGGGAGTTTATAAGAAGTATGCTGGTTGGTCTGGGATTTCCTATGACTATGGTTCACTGGATCATGGTGTGTATTTCCTCTCCAAAATTTTCTTTAGCATTGAATGGGGGGATGCATGGTTACTTCCATGGTGCAAGAGGATTAAGACAAGGGGATCCTCTCTCCCCTTATCTCTTTGTCATTGGTATGGAGTTTCTATCTAGAAAGCTTAGTGCTTTAAAGGATGATTCCTCTTTCAAATTTCACCCGAAGTGTTCTAAGCTTAAGATCAATCATTTGATATTTGCCGATGACTTGCTCTTGTGTAAAGCTGACATGAGCTCTATAGCAAAAATTTATGAATGCCTACAAGAGTTTGGACAAGCTTCAGGCTTGGAAGCTAATGCAAGCAAGTGTGCTGTTTACATTAGTGGAGTTAATGATAGTCTCAAAAATCAGATTTGCAGCTACCTTAATTTCCCTGAGGGTGTACTACCTATGAAGTATCTGGGGCTGCCATTGAATGCTAAAAGACTATCTTATTCTGATTGTTCTAGCCTTATCGAAAGAATTAATAAGCAGTTCCAAACTTGGCAACAGAGAAAGTTTCTGTCCTATGCAGGCAGGCTTGAGTTGATAAAATCTGTGATATTAGGCATTCAAACATATTGGATTAGCAATTACATTCTGCCAGTTAAAGTGTTGGAAAGAATTGACAGAATGAGTTCGGAATTCCTGTGGGGACATAAAATTCATCTTGTGAAGTGGGAATCTGTGTGTCAAGGAAAGGAGAAAGGGGGGTTAGGGATTTTCTCAGCTAAGCATTGGAATTTTGCTGCTGCAACTAAGCTCCTTTGGATGACAAGGGGGGTTAGGGATTTTCTCAGCTAAGCATTGGAATTTTGCTGCTGCAACTAAGCTCCTTTGGATGATTCATCTTAAAAAGGATCTACTATGGATACTAAGCTCCTTTGGATGATTCATCTTAAAAAGGATCTACTATGGATAAAGTGGATCCATGGAAATTACCTTCAGAGGTTCAATACCTGGTCTGTTCCATCCAAGACAAATGATTCATGGACATGGAGGCAACTCCTTAAAGTGAGGGATATGTTGTTGCACAAGTTTGGTAATGTGGACAATATTGAGGCTGCTATGACCAAATGTTTTGCTGAGGGTAAACTCCACTTATCTGCGGTTTATAAGTCCCTTATCCAGCCTTTGATTACAGTGCCCTGGGCTAAAACTGTATGGGATAGTTTCTTATATCCCAAGCACTCTTTCATTTTGTGGCTTGTTTGTCATTCAAGGATTCTCACTAAGGATAGATTGTGCCGAATGGGTATCTTGAGCACCAATCAGTCTCACTGTGTTCTGTGTGATAGGCAGGAGCTGGAGACTAGTAGCCACATTTTCTTTGAATGCCAATTTTCAGCTGAAGTTTGGAATTCAGTGTTGGAATGGCTGAAATATAGATGGAGATCTTGTGTATGGAGCTTGGTTTTGAATTGGTATTCATGTAATTTGAAAGGAAAAGGTCCTATGAAGAAATTGAAGAGGATGTGTTTATCCACTGCAGTCTATATGATCTGGAAGGAGAGAAATCGAAGAATTTTTCAAGGCAAAATGAGTCTCCCTGCTCAGGTTCTAAGAGAGATCAAATTCTCAGTTTTTGCTAAAGTTTACAATGATTCTTCTAATGTACATATGAAAAATATCATTGAGGAACTGTAATTTTTTCTTGATTTCCAGTTTTACTGGCACTTAGTTGTACTCCTCATTCTCAATTGGAAAATGAATAAAATTAAAGTTCATTGAAATTTGACTAATCAATTTCGAAATACGATTTCATCAAGTAACAGGTCACATTGTTAAGTGTCTCCATGGGCCGTAATTCTTCCTTTAATAGTTGGGCCATACTAATAGCCCATCGTATCCAAGGCTTCCGTCACTTTACGCTCTGCTTTCTTCAGATATGGGTTTAAAAAACATCATTAATAGGTATAAAATAATAAAATATATACGTAATAAAGGTTAAAAAAATGGAAAGAGTCGTATAAAACTAAATACTCCTGCGTCCCTTACGAACTTACATTGATGATGTGATGATAATTCAGTAAAGAAAAGTTTATTGTATCTTCTCTTAATAAATTTTTATGATATTATTTTTAAAACAAGACAATTCACCATATTTTTGTGAATTTTACCCAGAAAATAAAGCAAACCCGTAGCACTTAATCAGAGTTTAAAAAACCACATATTACCTCTCTACGCCAAAATTATTTAATTAACCAAATAAAAAAGCTCGCTACAAAATGCCTTTGCACGAGTGGGACCAGCCCAAGGGTTTCCGGCCCAATACTTCGACCCAGGGCAACGATCTTCATTAATTAGTCAAGAAAAGTGGGGAAATAGAAAGAAAAAGGGGAAAAAAAGACCTTCAGATGTATTGGGTCGGTTTTTATAAATAAGATTAAAATGGGTCGTTTTTTGCAATTAAAATCCCAAAGTGGTCGGTTTTGAAAATTTGTCCATCTTATGTTCTGTGAGTAATCAAGAAAGCCTCAGACAAAGATCCGCCATCGTCTTCTTCATTCTTCATCTTCCCCAAATTTCCAAATGGCGGGAAGATCATCGTCCATGATCGTAGAGATCTCGCCGGGCAACGATCTCGCCCTAACCAACTGCGCCTTCGTCTCCTTCAACGATCTCAAGAAGTTCGCGTCCCCTGGATCCGATAGCGTCCTCGCCTCCGTCGGCGATTCCTTGGTCCTAACCCTACGATATCCTTTTCAGTGACCAGTGGTTCCTCGATTCGTTTGGTTTAGCGTAGCGAATGCTCGTAATTTCTTCTTCTTATTTATTTATTTCTAGGCTCTTTGATTGAATTTGAGGTTAGACATCGTTTTTTCTTGGAAATTAGAAACTAAAGAGGGAAATCATCGGGAGTTCCTTCACAATAATTGAGTAAGTTATCTTTTTGCTCCTGAAGCAACGCTTGATTTCTTTGGCATTTGTGGAATTCTCATTTCGCCTGCCAATTTGTTTATTGCTGTTTCTATTAGGATCTTAAATCAGGTTTTTGGTTGAAAATTTGACATCAGATCGTCCAATGAGTTGAGGAAATAGTAAGTCAAAAAAAGGGGGAAAAGAAAAAGAAAAATACCCTTAGAATTTTGTTTAACTGTCTGTGTTTTTTATTGAAGGGATGGTACTGATAATTACACTATAGGTTAAAATGAATGCTGATTAATGGGAAGTATACAAGATATTTTACCTTTCCTATGTAATTCTTCAAAGCAGGTTCTGTCTCACGCAAATAGCTAGCAGTCAGTTAAAGAGTAAAATTATGAATGCATATTCGGGCTATGTTGGGTTTAGTTTAATGATTTTGTATGTTATCTGTATTCAAAGTATGAATGTTTTTGCTCCTCCTTGAAGTAATCCTTGACAAATTCTCACGGCTAGTCAAAAAATTAATGATGGTCGTATTGGTCTGAATGCCATCCAACGCCGGCATGCAAAAGTTTCCACAGAGGACCAAATATCTGTTAGCAGGTTTGCTCAAGCTTATTTAGGATTATGTGTTGATTGTCATCTGTCTTCTGATCTTCTTATTGACCATTATTTTATCTACAAAATTAGGTTTGTACCGCCAGAAAATTTTGACCTTGCAATGCTTTCAGTAGAGTTGGAGTTTGTTAAGAAGGCTAATAGAGCTGAACAAGTAAGGTTCTTTTCATGATTGACAACTTCATTGAATCATGACCTAATAACAAGCTTAATCTTTTTCTCATCTTCAACTGTCTTACAGGCCCTTTGTCTTAACAGACATACCGTTTTGTAATATTGAAATGCTTTATAAGGGATTCTTATCGTGCTGATAATGTTTCCTCTGCAGATAGATGCTGTTATTCTTGCTCAACAGCTGAGGAAAAGATTTGCTGACCAGGTAAGAAATACCCATTCCTTTTCATTTTTGGTACCCTTTAGCTGCTTCGAGACCATGGTTTTGTAGTTATACTTTAGTTTATGTGAGAGCCAGTTTTTGGCTTACAGTTAAATTAGATGGATCAGAAATAAGGGATCAAACCCTGTTAAAGATAGATTCTATAGAAGTATGCATGACGTTGAGCTCTGTTATTTTGAGGCTTCTGCAACGCATAAATCATCCGAAACTACCATTGTGAGTTTATCTCAATTATCAAATGTTAATTGTTTAGTTCAAGGAAGCACATTTGCACACGAGTGTACCACCACCAAAATGCAGTAGTTGTGAAAGCCATACAACACCATGAATATCACTCATCCCTTCAGTTAGTTATCAACTGGCTAGTTTTACGGATAAAATAGCATTAAGTTTAGACCATAATTCAGTGATTCAGTCAATTAAGAGTGTATACTACTTGTCAATCCAGGCACCCCAGACTTATGTTTAGACAACAGTGAATAGTCTACTTTAGGATATGTCGGAGCAAATGGAAGTTGTTTTTTATTAAATTAGAAGAATGTTCTTAATTGAGGATTTTGATCTATCATTCCATCTTAACTTTTTCTTTTTGTTTTCATAGTGCCTTTATATTGTGACATAGGATATAAATGATATACTTTTCTTCATGATTGTTGACGGGTTCAAATTGGGGAAGTGAAGAATGATGAGGCTACCTTTTCTCTATTTCTTGATCAAGGGCTTAGTATTTTTGCTCTTCAGGTTGTGGTTGTGCATGCCGTAGCATGCATGCATGCATGTGCACATGACCATATATTTTTGCTCATTTCTTCCAATCTGTTGTTTTGTTTTAGCTCCTGTCTTCACCCTTTCTTTGCAGAAGGGATCTCTGCAAAAGTTGCCCCTGTGCTTGGGAGGGAGGGATATCAATATCTATATCCGATAAGTATGGATACAGATCGGGAGGGAGGGATATCAATATCTATATCCAATAGGATATGGATACAGATACATATATATAAATACAGATCGGGAGGGAGGGATATCAATATCTATATCCAATAGGATATGGATACAGATACATATATATAAGTGAAATATCCAGATCCGTATCCGAATATCTGATTATATGTATTAATTAATACATGAGGTTCATTTTGATGATCTAGAAATCTAATCATAACTGTTCAAATATGTTGAACATTTTAATGGACTCTCATTTTAGTAATTTATGATATTTAAACATCTCTTGTGTCATATGATCATTGGTCTTACTTCTTTTCTTCATATCAGTTCTCTATCTGTTCATCTGATTAGAATTTGTATTCAATTTTGGTTGATACGTTCACGAGTTTTCTTTACTGAGACATTTGTATTCATATTTGCATCTGTGATTAGGAAGTTGATATGGATATGGTAAGAACCGTATCAGATCAGCTTGCAACCCTAAGAAACAAAGCAATATTCTTAATTGCATATTTTCTAAATATATTTAAGAGGAGCCTCCTTTTGGTACGTGTGAGTCACATTTTTAGAATTCCGGACTTGTCCTCACATATGAAGAAAAACAGAAATGTCCTCACGCTTGAAAAAAATCAACAGAACCTCAAACTAGGAAAAATCAATGGTAACACCCTCACACTTGTAAAAATCAAGCCCAACAAACCTTTTGGAATCAGCTGCAAACTTCCCTGCATTTTGTATCAATGCATGCATCGTGAATACTAGTATTTTCTAAACAGAACCAGTGAAGACAGGTGGAAACTGCTTAGGGAAATTCCGTGACTTGACTAAACTGATAGGGTTTTCAAACCTTGTTGAAAAAGATAACGCAAAGGCATTTTATGGCTAGAAGTATATACTCTTTTCCGGCATGAAGGTGGTTGGAATTTCATTTGAGTCAAACGGTAGCATGTTATTTGAAATTATAGACTATCTTTCTTGCGGTTGTTCGAAGTGTGTATCTGTTTATTTTTCTATAATTTCCGTTGTCTTTTCACCTGGTTAAATGCTAAATTATTTAGGATATTAGGCTCATATTTACTATATCTAATGGCAGAGTTATCATATGATATGCAGGTTATGACAGTGGGCCAGAGAGTGTTATTTGAATTTTGCGGAACAAACTATATTTTTACAGTTAATCAGGCTATGGTTGAAGGTGCTAAAAAATCCAAAGGTTTGGAGAGAGGAATTATTACCTCTGACACGTACATTGTATTTGGAACTATTCCAAATTCTGGGATTAAGGTATGTATTTTTCCTTTTTTTTTTCCCATTCAGTTGTCTTCATTTATTCTGTGGATTGTTATTGTTTTTTACAGGCCTGTTCGTCTTCCTCTGTATTTAGCATCATTATGTTTTCTCTACTAGAAAATGTTGATGTCCTATGATGCTAACTTCATCATCAATTGTCACATGTTTTTTACAGGTAATTAATCAACGTGAAGCTGCCAGCAGCAATATTTTCAGACAGAAAGAGTTTAATCTTCAAAAGTTGGGGATAGGAGGATTAAGTGAGGAATTCACTGATATTTTTCGAAGAGCATTTGCTTCTCGAGTGTTCCCTCCTCATGTTGTTAATAAGTAATTTCTTATTTAAAACTCCAATGTTCAAGAAACTCAGTTATTTTGCTGCATATTTAGGTAAAATTGAGATGTTTTTGTGCTGGTGCAGATTGGGCATCAAGCATGTCAAGGGAATGTTGCTGTATGGGCCACCAGGAACCGGCAAAACCCTTATGGCTCGTCAGATTGGGAAACTGTTAAATGGAAAAGAACCAAA